AGCTTAAAATAAATTATCTATAATGAATAATTTAAAAAATTATATTTTTTATTAATCAAAAAATTCTCAAAAATTCGCTCAACGCTTTAACATTTCTGAACGCCCGTGTAAAGAACACCACAATAGAGATTGTGATGAAAGTAAGATAAAAATTTTAGAAAACAAAGAAACGTAGTGGTGGGATAAGGAGCTTCTGATAATTATAGCTAATTAGAAAAAGAATTTGAATGTAAAGCAGAAGAACACGTAACAAAAAATTTGATCTATTATTGAATAATATACAAATCTAAAAGACCTAACACGGCCCGCGTCGCTTCGTTATACACGATGCTCCGCGACTCGTGCCACCTTTATCAGCCGTCGCCCTATTATGAGTATTTGACTGACCAACACCGCGTGTTATACGCTACGGTGCAAAGTCCAGCAAATGCCGCACGGCCGACGACGACCCGCCGCAAATGGTGCGAGAGTCTTCCTCCCGTTGTGAAAGCGACAACGTCGACCAAACGATCCGCACCCGCGCACCATCGCCTACAACGCTGCTAACCTTTTGCCGTCCAAGGATTACGCCGGGCATCGCGTCGTCGACGCCAGCGAAAGTGCCGCAATATTATGCGAAAATTATTATTATTGTGTTTATCTTTTCGGTTTGTTTTATTTTTGTTAAAATAATCTGTTGTCGCTCATTTAATAAACGGCACACGGGTGTCTACCCTCAAAACCAATGTCGACCACAATTTTACAACGTAAGTAATGTCAGACCAAATAAAATGAAAACTTCTTTTTTTTTCATGAAAATTTGGCATGAAAAAAGTTACATAACTCTAACCAATATTTAGTGTGAAAGATGAAAAATTATTATATTTTATGGTTTTTAGGAGTAAATATTATATTAGACAACGCCAGCACAGTGGGGTCAAGGCAACAGTATGAATGTGGCATAGTTGGAAAAAGTATAGATAATATCTGACAGTGAATAAAATCACTATTATAAGAAACGCTTCGATGCAAATCTGTAGATAGCGTTTAATTCTAAGAAATTGATGAATTATTCCAAAAGCTACATAATTTCCATTTTCCTTATTTATATCCTGATTACAAGTTTTATGATTTATAAGTTTAATATATGAATATATATAAATATATAAAGGAATATCGTGTTATTAAAAAAAAAATTTCGAATTAAAGAGAAATATAAATATTATTTAAAATATTCTATTTATATAATATTCTCATAAAATGTATTGATCCATACAATTTTCAATAAGTTATAGGATTATAAAGTTAAAAAATGTAAAATATAAAATCGAGAATTTTTACACAAAAATAGCATTTAGTAACTTTTTTTTTCCATGACAAAGTATATTACATTAGCTTTAATTTAAGATATAAAAGTGTCATTATTTCCGAACACTTTCAAAAATTAATTTTTTGTGAAAAAGTTGTCATTTTAAATCCCCCCTGTGGGCAGGTCAAATTTATAAAAGAAAAACCTTAGATATTTCCCTTTCATTTAATATCATTTTTTTGAAAATCTAACACTTAACCTGCTAATTGGGGGGGATTTAAAATAGCAACTTTTTTACAAAAACTAACTTTTTCAATTTAATTTTTGAAAATGTTCCGGAAATACTGCGTCCTTTAAACATATATCAAATTAAAGCTTTTTTTATGTACTATAAAATGAAAAAAAAAAATTTGTCCCGACACCTTATCTTCTATGTGCAAATGGCTGTCGAAATTATAAAAAAAATGTAATATTTGCGATAAAAATCACCTTTTATAACGATGTTTTTTGTACTTAAAACTGCCATAACTTTTTCAAATATTAACTAATCAAAATAATATTTCTTTATATTGAAACCTTAGGTAATTTTCTTTCATTTGATATCATTTTTTTTTGAAAATCTAACACTTATTCTGCTCACAGGGGGGATTTAAAATTGCAACTTTTTTACAAAAACTAACTTTTTCAACTTAATTTTTGAAAATGTTCCGGAAATACTGCGTCCTTTAAACATATATCAAATTAAAGCTTATTTTATGTACTATAAAATGAAAAAACCCAGCACAGGGGGGTCGCGGCACAGTGGTGACGTGGCATAGTTGGATCAAATATTATGATATCTGACAGTGATTAAAATCACTATCAAAAGAAACGCTTCGATGCAAATCTGTAGATAGTGTTTCATTTAGAGAAATTGGTGAATTATTTCAAAAGCAACATCAACTCTTATTTCTTTAATTATATTCTGATTAGTAGTACTTTGATTNGAACTCTTATTTCTTTAATTATATCCTGATTAGTAGTTCTTTGATTTTAAAATATAATATATGAATAAATACTAATTATAGTTTTCAAATTCAGTATGAAATTGTGAGGCCAGCTATGATGTATGGTTCATAGTGTTGGGCGGTTGATAAGAAAGTAGAGCAGAGAATAAGTGTAGCAGAGATGAGAATGCTTAGTTGGATGAGTGGAGTGACTAGAGAAGATAGGATAAGGAACGAGCATATAAGAGGAAGTATAGGTGTTGCGTCAATCGTGGATAAGATGACAGAAAATAGACTTAGATTGTTTAGTCATGGTATGAGGAAAGAAGAATCGAAAGCTGTAAGAACAGTTATAGAAATGAATGTTGAAGGAAGAAGAGATAGAGGAAGACCAAAAAAGAGATGGAGAGATGCTATTAAATGCCATTTGAGATCAGCTGATTTGAGCGTAGAAGAAGTGGGAGATCGTGTCAAGTGGAAGCTTAGGATAAGAGTGGCCGACCCCAAGTAGTTGGGATTAAGGCAAAGAAAAAGATTACCAGAAATTCCGGTGGCAATTGACGTAATATGATTGTTGTTTGGGAATGTACAATTTAGCGTTTAGTTGGGTATAAACAATATAGTGTCAAATCAATTACCTACTCTATCGGTTGTATCTTAATATACACTACACTTAAATGATACTATAAATAAATAAACTCACACATACACACATATGCATTTATAACATTGTGTCTAATGTATAATATGATAAAAAGTAACCGTAAAATGAAAAACCCAGCACAGGGGGGTCGCGGCACAGTTGTGACGTGGTATAGTTGGATCAAGTATAATAATATCTGACAGTGATTAAAATCACTATCAAAAATAAACGCTTCGATGCAAATTTTTAGATAGTGTTTAATTTAAAAAAATTGGTGTTTTATTCCAAAAGCTACTTGATCTGCTGGTTCCTTATTAATATCTCGATAAAGATAAAGTATGTCAAATGAAAAAGGGTTTATTAAAAAATATTATTTCTCATAAAAAAATTGTGTGGATCCATAAACTTTTCAATAAGTTATAGCATTATAAAGTTAAATATTATATAAATAATAAAATCGAGAATTTTCACACGAAAATAGCATTCGGTAGCCATTTTCGCCGTGAAGACAAGTCCAGAGGTCAATTTTTTTTTTTTCAAATTAAAGTATATTACATTAGCTTTAATTTAAGATATATATAAAAGTGTCAGACCTTCCGGAACACTTTCAAAAGTTAAGTTGAAAAAATTAATTATTTGTAAAAAAGTTGTTATTTTAAATCCCCCCCTGTGGGCTGAAAAAAAGTCAAATTTACAAAAAAAATATAACAAATAATAGGTAAAGATATCAAGCATCTATAAAAAAAAAAATTATATTAAAATGTTCATTTTTGAAAAAGTTACGGCAGTTTTTAGTAAAAAAAATTGAAAAAATTTCGAAAATTAGCGATTTTTAAATTTGTAATTTTTTTGGAGGTTTCCCCCATTTACGGGGAACGAGGAAAATTTTTTCAATTTTGAAGGGTAATGTCTTCGACTAGATAC